ATGAAAAAGAGAAAAAGAATCTATAAAAGGCTATATTTTGGACAGGTATGGGTTGGCCGGTTGGCCCTCCCCCCATAGTTGTGGCAATAGCCAACGCCACAACTTTTTGACACCAAAGACACCCTTGTGTTTTGTGAAGAGAAAAAAGCCATCCATGTGGAACACAATTAGCGTGACCACGACTCACTACAATGATATGATATTGTTTATTTTGATTTAGACTTCTCCAAAACGACTCGTATCAATAGAGATGTATTCCTCGACAGTTATATCTATAGCTACTTCCATGGCCTAAGCCTGTGGCGTATGTCATCGACTTAGGACCCTTCGTCGTGTAGACAGCTTCGGCAGGCTCGGCTGGCGCCGGAAAGATGGAAAATGGAAATGGTTTGATTGGGAGACAAAATAAGGTTTGGTGGTTGGAGATCTGCGGCCGCCGGTGGTGGTGTCGTATCTGATCGGTCAATTTTGTGGATCGGTCCCCCAGCTGAGGTGAGGTGACAGAGAGAGTGTGGCAGGTTATATTCCGCCGGAGAACGGTGACTCTTCCTTATCTCATCATGTTTTATTTTATTTTATTTATTTATTATTATTATTTTTTTGCCATTAATTTTAAATATTTTTCTACACATTTCTATTGTTCCAAATCTAATAATAATAATAAAAAAAAAAGTCATAAAAAGGAAAATATTTTAATAAAGAACATTAAAAATTCACCAATAAAAATACCCTAATTTAACCAACATTATTAAAAGTAATAATAATTATAAAGATCTTAAATTTTTCTATTAATCTCACTCTTTAATAATGTAAATCCATATATTATTTATTTTCTATTATATAGGATTAAATTAAACCGTTGGATAATTATTTATTTATTTTTTAATTTTAAAAAACTCCATCTTTTTTTTGATTTTTGTATCATTAATTTCATATTTTATAGGTAAATATTTGAATTTTTAGACATATTCTAGAAAAATAATATTAAAAATAGGTCTACCCTTTTGAATTAAATCCAGACATTTCGAGAACTTTCTCTTTACTTCGTTCAATTCTATTCAATTATGTCTATTTTATTTTATTTTATTTTATTTTATTAGTGTCAAATTTTCCCATAAAGAAATGTCACGTCCTTTTGTGACCCAAAATTCTCAAATTTATTATTATAAATATAATAAATATATAGAAATCTAGAAATAGCAAAATTCTCCATTATTTATTATTATTATTATTATTATTATTATTTAAACATCGGTTAGCGATAGGTTATAAATGGTATCAGAGCCACACAACAAGCAGTGTGTCAGTGAGGATACTGGACCTCAAGAGAGTAGATTATAAGATCCCATATCGGTGGGAAAGGAGAATGACATTTTGTTGTAAGGATGCAGAAACCTTTAACACAAGAATATTTTTTAAAATAATTTTCATTCTCCGATATAATTTATATTAAAAAATATGTAAAAAAAAATTAATAACATATTATTAAAATGAGACGGGCGGTCAGAGAGAAGAAATATAATTTGCATTTAGTATCGTATTCCCTGTTCAAATAGACATCTCTAGTTAAAAATTTGAATTTTCTCAACGATAAAAAAAAAAATTAAAAAACATCGATAAATTTCGATATTTATTTTAAAAAATGAAAAGTAGGAAGGAATATGTTATGACATGTTGAAGGCGCAACCTTCAAGAACTTAGACTAAGTTAAGAATCTTTCGTAAAGCATAAGGAATGATTCCAATTTAGATGAGAATATTCCAACACTTCATTAAGAACAAATATTAATTTCATAACTTTCATCTCTCAAAATGTCAAATTTATTGACAAATTTAAATTCTAAAGATCACCCAAATCTTCTCAAAATTAAATTCCCACCCCAATTGTTCAAACACAACTCACGAACAAAATTTGTCGTTTAATCTTTTCGAGATATATATATATATATGAGTTCATGAATTTTAATATCATATTAAAGAAACACGAACCTTCAATTTTAAAATCAATTGGCAATAAGAAGAATAGCTCGTTAGATCCTCGACAGAGAGATCAAAGATAGAAACACAATAATAAAGTTTTCTATTCGAAAAAGACGTTTTCCCGCTCCATTCATCAATACTTCTAGCTTTACTTCTAGCTTTGTTTCTAATGTTACCCATGAAAACGATAAACTTTACATTAGACCTTGTGATAAAGTAGCTCGTAATTAGCTATATAGTTTTGGTACGTTGGTTCGATAACATGTGATCTAAGGTGGGCTTCTGAGATTCACGGACCCTCGAACCAAACCGATGGAGAAATAACTATTGAACCATCGAACGGAATCGGGCCAAATTTTGTAGCATGAATCTTATAGGAGGGCTCCATGTTAGGCTAGATTTTAGGTCCAACGTGCACCAAGTTAACACACAATGGCTTAGGTGTTGCTTGAGGACTGCCACCTCATAGACCTCTAGATTGATGACACGTGGACATAAAAAAATAAAATAAATATTTTTTCAATATTATATTTTATTTTCTCAGAGATAATTCACCCGAATAAAAAAATTAAAAATAAACTATATTATAATATAAAAACACAACTAAAACAAGACTTAATAAAAATATCTATTTATTGTCACGTAATTAAAAAAATATACATATTCGATATGATAGTGACTTTTATAATCAATAATCATGAAAATTCGTGAAATTTTGATCCAACGAACACAAAATTAAACTATTTTTAATTGCCGTAAATATTAAATTAAAATTAATTTTTTTAAAGTGAGTTTTTAAGTGTATAATAAATAATTACAACACAAGTGGATGAGGAAAGGAAGATATTTTTATTTTTTTATGTTTTTTTTTAAAGCAATATAATACATAAAGTTATTAAAATTGAAAGGTGCCACGTAAAAAGATGACATGGATGAGTTGGAAGTGGTGTGACCAATGGATTGCCACGGTGGTCAAGTCCAATAACAATTAATAAAATAATAACCCCACAAAAGGGGTACCTCTTTAACGTACAACTGATTTTATTATTATTAAATTCATATTTATTTGAATATTTAAAGCTTATTGTTAATTTGATGGGTTTTTTTTAATTAGTATTATTTTTATAATTTAATTAGAAGATGTGACATATATCTATATATTAACCCAAGTGACATGGGTTAGGTTAAAAAAATAAATGCACAAAGGGATAAGATTCTATGTCTATTTTCTTTAATTATTTTATGTTATATATATATATTTTTTAAAAGTCCCTCGAACATTATAAGAATATCATCACTAATTCAATGGACCTGATTCTCTTGAGATAGCATATCCCAGATTGAAGGAATAGGAAATTGGGTACTCGACAGAAGGCTGGGAAGAGTTTCCACCTCAACCGAAACAGAATAAGGAGAAAGAGAAGGAGCGAACTACTCGATCGACTAAGGCCGTTGCAGGTGGCTTGAGAATGACGCTAGGGCCCTTTTCCCGACAACAGATCGGAGATCGATCTCAAGTCATACGTCTTTTGTTCAGCCAACAGTGTTCCACTCTACTTATTATCGAGTTCAATAATAGTTAGATAATTTAAGAATAAATTGTATTATTGAGTAAAACAAAATGTAGTAGTAATCTACCGACTATCTTGTAATTTCGTAATTTCTTTTCGATTGGTGTTAATAAAGAGTGCGAGTGTTTTCTGTTCAACATTTACATTTTTAAATATACGTATTGGTCGAGATTTGTCTTTATTAAGAATTTGAGCTACCAACCATGTGCTTCTCACCTTTCAAATAGCTATCTGTTTGTCGATTTATGGACCCTCGACAACTTGTTCTTATCCTTATCAACTCGAACATATGTATTTTGATGAACTCTTTAACTTTAAAGATCATCGTACGGTGTGAAACTCTAATAGACGGAAAGAGATATTTAGAGAAGATTAAACCGAACATATGGAAGATGGAGTCCCAACGAGCCACCAAGGGGAGTGGTGGCCGGCCACCGCGGACGGCCGACCAAGAGAGATGGAAGTCAACATTGAGATACATTATTATTGTAATGATGAAGAAAGGCAAATGATTTGGGAATATGGAATTAGAAGAAAAATGAAAGAGAGATCAAAGTGATTGATCCCAAATGGGCTCTACTGTTACCATTACTGCTACTCATTCCCTCCACTATCATCCTTTTTCTTTCCACTCGGATGCTTTTATAGAGTGTTTCTATGTAAGTTCAGGTAGTTGTATCTTCACAGACGTGTCTATTTCATCAAACCTCTCTTCACGATAGTATCCAGATCGTTACATTTTTCGTGTTGATCAGAACTTACTTGATAAGGAATTTCGCTACCTTAAGACCGTTATAGTTACAGTTGCTGTTTACCTGATCTCTAGCTCTCTTATATGCTCAGCAACTTCCTTGACCTTTCGGCATAGCCATCAACGACTTCACTCTTAAGGGTGAATTCCTACTTTTTCGACTCTAAACGACCACGTGCCTATTTAGAGCTTTTCATAGGCGATGTACAACATTTGTCAATGACGATGTTGACATGCGTTGTATAAGGCTTTGTAACTATCAGCTTTACCAAAACTTCACATCCCTTGCCTCTTGGGTTAGTTTTTGCATACTCATTATAGATTACTTAAATCATTGATTACACTCTAAGTATAGATTACTTAGATCATTCATCAATTGACTAAACTCTAAGTATAGATTACTTAAATTATTCATCTTAAAATTTATTCCGACAGATGATGTATTTCGTAAAAATTATAGCCTTAAGTATGTTGAACATCTTGAACATGTTCAAGTGATTAAGAGATTAGAAAATGTTTTAGACGTATAAAGCTTAACTATGACTTATATGCTAACTTAAACATCGCTCAACTAATCAAGGCATGAACCTTTGACCAATAAATCAAAGGTTTGAATCTCTCACACAATATATATACACAATACGTGCTCGTGATCTTTGCAAACAAACCTCGATTGTAACCGAGCACTAGAACAAATCCTGCTCTAAAGTAAAGTCGTTATCAAGCCACTCTTCTTTCCAATAGGTTCATATTCTTGAATAATTTTGCGTAAGAATGTGGAAAGGAGAAAAGCGGAGAAGATTGGAAAACAAATACATCAAGAACATCTGGAATCTTGGAACACTTCTTATGTCCTCTGTTAGAACCAAATGCTTCAATGGAGAGAATTCAAATCTCTGGCCCCTTGAAATTCAGAAGAGCCAACTTTCGGGTCTCCTAAAAAATCGGTGAGGATGAGCCTCGATACCCGAATTACATATAAGAAATATATAATAAGAACATCCTATACTCTTCGACGTAACTTTTTTACGTCGAAGATTCGATTGTGATGTAAAAGAAAGAGGCTAAATTATAAATAATATCTTAGAATTTTATCGTTTGTTTTAAAAACGTGTTACACGAACAAGAACGTACCTTCGTTCTCCAATCCGTGATGAACGCTTGCTGGGGAATCTACACATGTTTCGAGCCAGCACCAATGGCACCTTGGAGTCCCCCCACTCCCAGAGAGCATCAGCTTGAGACTGCATGAGTTGAAATGGGAGTCATTTTCATTGGCACATCAATAATGAAATACTGTATTAGAGTGAAGTTGGGGAAAGAGATCACATCACATGAACATTTATCATCCAGAGAGATTAAAGATCTTTGACTTGATAAATAACAAACATCTTCAATATGTAATAAGAATATTCACTCCCTAAATTCTTCGGTCACTAGACTCGTGCTCGACTCTTGATCAATAAAATGGTCAACTCTGTGAGAAACATCTGTAATCCTGGCACCTAGTAACAAGGTAAGATAAGTAACACAAAACCTCCTTCGCAACGTGTTGCAGCATGAATTCTCTGTATCCAATGCTAAAAGGCAAAGAAATACATAAAAGTTTGAAGATACATCATCAGACAAGATCTTTATTTTTATTAGAACTCAGTTTGATGAATGGGGGATGGTTTTCACGCACATAAGATCAGATTCGCAAGAAATTTCACAACAAGATTCAGGAATCCAAGAGCTCTACCCTCACAAAGCAAGAATTTTTCTTCATCTTGCCCTTGACAAAAAGTTCCTTATACACAATCAACTTCATCAGCTACCTTACCAGGTAATAAACACAAAGTATCACAATAAAAAAATACAAATCATACAGGGTCAGCACTAGCAAAGAGATAATGAAATCATGGATGGTGCCAAAATTATATAGAACTGAACATTAACCCACCTCTGAATGCAAATATTTTCTGCTAAAGATCTGTCATCCAGATAACTGGCCCGGACACCAGTCTCAACAATCTGTCGCCATCTTTCCAGCCTGCAAAAAACTGGTCGTTAATAACAATAATTATGAGCACCAACATTAAAAGTAATTTAATAGATTAAATAGCATGTGCTGATCAACTCGTTCTTGGTATCAGTTATTTCACTGTCCAGCGCATAAACCAGTATCTATGAGATCAACAAAAAAAAAAAAAAAGGGTAAAGAAATGCCCCTAAAGGACTCTAAGCAGAAATGAACCATCATTTCCAAATCCTCACATTTTTCGTTAGCCTACATCTCGACTTCAAACCATGATGACCCGACAGTTTTCCCGATGTTAGTATTGTGTGTGCATGTGCAGATGTCTGTATTTGTATATGAAACGGGAGCTTTTATAAGGAGAAAAAAAAAAAAAAAAAAAAAGTCCTCCTGCGACCTGAAAAAACGTAGCCATGAAAATATCTAGGGAAGGAGCTTTATAAAGATTGACTTCTTCTACTGTAGTAGTACTGAATGTAAAACTAATTGAAAACATGACATTATCATAAGAACAAACTTTTGTTAAGAGACTTACAGAAGTTGGAAAAATTAGCTCTACAAGAACAAGGGAGGAACATGGTATTAGAAAAAGGGAATTTCTAAGAATGAGAGAACAGCAATGCAATAAGATAATAAATTCAACCTTTGGAGTCTTTCCTGATTGATTAACCGTGGGATTCAATATCAAAACATCTTTCATATCTCTTGAGGAAAAGCAATACTTACCAATAATTTCCTGCTGGAGAACCTCAGTATCACATTCACAGAATTTTGAATAAGATGCTCACATAAATTTCAAAATACATTAGTTTTTTTCTCCTGTTATTAATATCTAAATACAAACTAGGAAACTAGTATGCATATCAGTTTCATGCTTTTGTGTATTTCACTGTTCGATCGATCAACGATGTGGTCTCCACAATAATACTTCTCATACATTAACTCATAAAAACAAATTAATTGCAAATAACATGTTGGAATCTCATGCAACCTAAGAGGTGATTATTAAATAGAACAAGGAATTCTTCTAGGTAAAAGTGTAATATACAGACGAAAGAACAACTCATGGAAAAGGTTAATTGAACTGCTAGATAATTCAAAAGACGTGAAACATTACTAAAAATCATGAGGGGACTGGGGATCCCTTCTTATGGTGTTTATAAAATGGTATTCAATAAGCATAACAGAACTCTCTTCTAACTTCAAATACTTATAGTTCCTCCCGGAAAATATTCTAATCCTGCTCAGAGTGAAAAGAACATCAAAGAGCCTAAATATTTGTTGCATAGAAGTGGGAAATTTCAATCTAAATTATGTACTATGTTACTCGAGTTCAAACAAATTTCAGATGAATGCAAACATGGGTGGGTTAGAGCATGGGCACAATCCTTATTTTTGCCTCGAATTTTTACGCTAAACTGTGGAACTTCCTCAAAAAATAAAATAAAAAAAGGTCAAAATCAAACACGATCTTGTAGAAGAATATATTGACATATAGAAGATTGGCAATCAAGAGCTAAGATGAACTCTATGGAAATCTCTGCACATAAGATGTGTTTGAGGAAAAATTACAAATGTTTCTTATCTTTCTATTGTATATTGAGCTTTCTTTCCTAAAACTACTGGTATCATAACATCTGACAACTTGTTCAATCAAACGACAAAGCATAAGTATTGAAATTTGAAATGCTTCCAAATAAAACTTGGAAGAACCTCATTGACATTCTCGAATTTCACGAATTAAGGATAGAAGCATGTCATCTCCAGCAATTGATCGCAGCCTTTTAACAAGAACATCTTTTCCCAATTTTCCTGCCTGTAATGATCAAATGCGTGTTGCTAAATTAGCATCATATTATCTTCAATTACTTAGTCCTATTTCACATTCTTCTCTTACCCTTTCATTTTTTCTTTTAGTGAATAGGAGTGCATCTTTTTAAAAGTTACACAACAAAGACTCACCTTAAATGTCTGAAACAATGTCGCAACCTCTTGAACTTTAGAGGTAGGCAGCGAATTCTTCATCTTCGAAAGTAATTTCACGAGGGAATACTTCGTATCTGTCGATTCCCCCAACTTACCTGGAAAAAAGAATCATCAACGAAACTAAAAAAGCGAAGAGGATAAAGCAAATAAACCCAATCAATAAGAATATTTACCTGGCAAACGATAATTTGATCTGAAACTCACTATGTACTCTGGTAAAATGTGTCTGTTCATATTACTACACCAGACAATATACCGTTTAGGACATGTTGGATCATCCACACCAGTGTCAAACTCTGTACTCGACGGATGGGATTGCTGAGATCCTGCTTCAACCTTTTCAACATTACCCAATATTACTCGACATAAAACCATATGTTTTATACCATCCTCATCGACCTCTGATAGCGTAGAACTGGGAATCACAGTTAATTGTGCATTTGAATATGGTGAGAACACATAATCATAAACTAGAAGTAGCTAGACGAAAATGAAAGCCAAATTACCATAAATGAGGCAAGCCCAATGGAGATAAGTAAACTCCAATTCCATGAGTATCGGCGGCAGGCACCTGAAGAGGCTCCCCAAATCCATGAGCCAAAATTCCCGCCAAACTTGTTGCAGAAGCTCCATACCATGCATAAACCATATTGGACACACCACGGGCAGCCGTTGTAATCTCATTCTGCTTTTGAAACACATCGAGGCGAGCTTTTTCCAATGGCCCCGTGCGGGTGCACTGATGAATTGAGGTGATTGCAGAACTGGGATCAACCTTTTTCATTGAAGGGAGAAAGAAATTGCTTACTAACGTGTACGCACTATCTCCTTCACTCAGCGCCTTCGCCTTCGGCCATACATGAGCTTCTGAATCATTCGCAACAACACGCGGTATTTTCAATGGCTTCACTTCCACATGTTCATTGCTGGAATTCACTTCATTTTCTTCCTCCTCCATCTCCATCGCTTCCCTCTTTCGTTTCCCGGACTTCCGATCAATCTTAATCTCAATTTCAATTTTCGGATTCGACAAACTCCGAGTATTTCCCTCACTCTCATCGCCGATAAAGACTTTGGGGAAAAAACACTTCCCATTTTCATCGATCCAAGCAACCGATCTCTGTCTACCAGTTTCCAAATCAATCTGTAACATCCTATACATATCAAACAGATACGTCGATCCATCGATTTCCAGTTCAATCGCCGGATTCCGGTCGGAGAAACCCGCTCGCAATATTCCAATCACTCGATTATCGAAATCAACCCACAACCTATCCTGATAGAACATGAAACGAGAAGGCAAACCACTGGCCTTGAAATTGGAGTAGTTTTGAATCAAAGACTGCGAAGAATCGGATAAGTGATGACAAGAGGAGGAATCGATAGGGTTTCTCGAACAAGGCTTCGGAGGAGCCCGAACCGCAACCGATTCCACCATCTTCTTCCTGAATTGCTTATGCATCAGAAGCTTAGAGGAGGCCATGGATTCTACCAGTCTCTGGGATCGAAAGCCGGCACTGAAATTTCGCTTCGAAAGAACCAGCAGAATCGAGGCGATGAAACTTAGCGTGCTGCCATATGTATCCGTTTCCCAGTCACCCATCGAAATCAAAATTACACGTATAGCCTTACGAATTCGCAAAGTCAAAGTCGGTTATCGTCTTTGAAACTTCAATAAGAGAGAAGGGTATTTGAGTAATTTAACAAATCGGCGATTTCCAAGTGCCTTGTGACGCGGAACGCCGATTCAACGAAGCTTCCTGCTGAATTCGAGTTACTTGGAAATTAAGTTAGCGACTTTTAATATTATTATTTATTTATTTATTTTTCTCCGAAAATCCACGTCATTCTGGGCTTCGCATGTCTTCATATTGGGCCCACATTATTATTACTCATTATTGTTTTTATAAATAATTTTTAAAGGTTAAAATAGTAACAAAAAATTATTATCACTAGTGACAGCGTGGATGTCGAAAAATATATATATATATATATTTTTTTTACTTGAAAATATGGGAGCCTTGCTGGCTTCTTTCGTTGCCGTGGCTTCCACGTGGGCACCAACTGTATTTTAATTTATCCAATAGTGGATAACGACAAGAAGAGGAAGTGAGCTGGAAACTTTGTGTTGGTCAAATTTGGTCGGCGGTTGAGTTTATTTATTATTATTATTATTTATGACAAGCCATTTAGGTTTGGCTCACATTGTTCGATCTATCTCGTGTCTGGTACTGCACAGTTCTAATCTGCAAGAACTCCAAATCATTCTCTTCATCAGAAATGATCCTCTTGCCCCGAAATGACCTAACCCAATAACAAAATTCCAATTCATCAGGCCTTTCGATACAATCAAATAGAAAGCCTTGACAAATGTGAGCACTGTTTAGTATTGTTGGGAGAAGATCATGGATTTATAACTAAGGAATACTATCTTCATTAGACAAAGTCACGAGGGCTTAAGCTCAAAGTGGACAATATCATATCATTGCGGAGCGTCGTGATTCCTAACACGAGCACTTCGATACACGATTACACCAAATAAATAAATAAAAAGTCTAAAGTCCATCAAGGACAAAGGCCCAACTATGACTCTAACTTGGGCTCACAACTATAGGCCCAATAAGTTCATGCATAGGCCCAATTGAGAACATTTTCAAAGGTGAATTATTAAAATTAACAAAATTAAATTTAAAAAAAAAATATCGAATATGTTTAAGAATGAAATATCGAACCATCAACTTATTAAATGGACGGACAAGCAGCGTACTAGAATTAATGGACGTGTCGTGGATATTTATATTAAATAAAGCTATATAAAAATATAATATAAAGTTTGAGGACAATAAATTTTTATAATAAAAAAAAATAAAAGTACATTTGAATGTCCCTTGAGAATATGGAAAAATATCCCCACAAAGCATTTTGAAATTAAAAAAATTTAAAATATGTTTAATTAATATTAATAATATTTTATATTTGTAATGCATTCCAAGTATAATATCACCAAATACCATTATATGAATCTAGAAATTGGCTCTCTTATTAGTTGCTTGATTTTTCCTTAATGGAATACATAATTATTGTCCCTTCATATTTATATTTATATTTGCTTGTGTCACTACACACTTATTTTTTTTTTCTTATTGTTATTTTATTATTTTATTATTTTCAATTTTATTTTTTAAATTAGGTTAATGGGTTTTTGCTTTTTTTTGAAAGAGATGTCGGGGTGAAATTTGATATCTTTGAAGAATCTCGGGTGGAGCTGTGAGATCTCGTATTGGATAGAGAGGAGAATGAAACATTCCTTATAAGGGTGTGGAAGCTTCTCCTTGGGAGACGTGTTTTAAAACCATGAGACTGACGACGATACGTAATGGGTCAAAACAGACAATGTTTGTTAGTTGTGGGTTAGGGCTGTTACAAACAGTATCAGAGCTAAACATTGGGCTGTAAGATCTCACATCGGTTGGAGAGGGAAACAAAACATTCCTCATAAGGGTGTGGAAGCTTCTCCTTAGGAGACGTGTTTTAAAACTGTGAGACTGATGACGATATGTAATGAGTCAAAACAGACAATATTTGCTAGTTGTGGGTTAGGGCTAGACACCGGGCGGTTTGCCAACGAGAACAATGACCTCCAAGGTGGTGGATTGTAAGATCTTACGTCGGTTGGAGAGGGAAACGAGACATCCCTCATAAGGGTGTGGAAACTTCTCCTTAGGAGACGTGTTTTAAAACTGTGAGATTGATGACGATATGTAATGGGTCAAAATAGACAATGTTTGCTAGTTGTGGGTTAGGGCTGTTACAAATAGTATCAGAGCTAAACACTGGATTGTAAGATCTCACATTGGTTGGAGAGGGAAACAAAACATTCCTCATAAGGGTGTGGAAACTTCTCCTTAAGAGATGTGTTTTAAAACCGTGAGATTGACGACGATATGTAATGGGTCAAAACAGACAATGTTTGCTAGTTGTGGGTTAGGGCTGTTACAAATGGTATCAGAGTTAGACACCGGGCGATGTGCCAGTGAAAACAATGACCCCCAAGGTGGTGGATTGTAAGATCCCATATCGGTAGGAGAAGGAAACGAGACATTCCTCATAAGGGTGTGGAAACTTCAACTTAGGAGACGTGTTTTAAAACTGTGAGACTGACGACGATACGTAATGGGTCAAAACAGACAATATTTACTAGTTGTGAGTTAGGCTGTTACAAATGTATCAGAGCTAGACACTAGACGGTATGCCAATGAGAACAATGACTCCCAAGGTGATGGATTGTAAGATCCCACATCGGTTGGAGAGAAAAACGAAACATTCCTCACAAGGGTGTGAAAACCTCTCTCTAACAAATGCGTTTTTAAAATTGTGAAGCTGACGACAATACGTAATAGGCAAAAGCGAACAATATCTATTAGTAGTGACCTTAAGCTGTTATAGGAACTTTCTTTCGAGGCTCAGGAACTACAGTCAACCACTTTCACTGTAATCCTCAGCTCGTTCTTGATAGATCTGATTGTAAAATGATTCGAACCTTTACACGTCGATACAAAAAAACAGATGCCTTACCATTTAGGTATATGAGGAATAAAGTTTAGTTAGGTCAAAATTATTCTTACGAAAAGTCAGTATTCAACTTGGTAAGATCGACAGATATAAAATTCAATATTTCTATTAAGATAATGCTTTTAAAATTGAAATAATTAAAGATTTGGAACCTTAGAGATTTTTTTTTTCCACTTTAAAATTATTTAAAATAATAATAATAATAATAATAATAAAACTATTCCTTTTGGTCAAAGTTTTAATGGATTCTCCACATTGGCAATTGCAACAGATGCCTCCATGAATCTCATTCTTCCAACAAACCCATAAAGGCATAATCTTTATTATTATTTTATTTATTTTATTTTTTAAAAAAATATTTATTAATTATTTATTTTTAAAAAATGTTGAAAATATGATAACGGTTGTCTTTTAAATTTTGTTTGTTTCTTATTTTATAAGCGTCTTGCTTTTTTGTTATTCCATTTACACGTTGGGATAGATTTAGTAAATAATTTGTCACTTAATAATTTTATTTCAACAAACAAAATTAGTCACGAGCATTATTATAAAGTCGTTCGTCTTTGGATTCTCGTTAAATCGAATCTTTAATTTTAAAATCAAGAGGTTGACGGTAATACGTAACGGGCTAAAACGTACAATATCAGTTAATAGTGGGCTTGAGTTGTTACAAATGGTATTAGAGTCAGTCAACGGATGGTGTACCAGCGAAGACGCTGACCCTCAAAGGGAGTGGATTGTGAGATCCCACATCAATTAGAGAGGGGTACGAGTCATTTCTTATATGAATGTGAAAATCTCTTTCTAGTAGACGCGTTTTAAAACTATGAAGCTCATGACAATACATAACATGGTAAAACGGTAAATATCTGCTAGCAGTGAGCTTGAGCTGTTCAAATGGTATCAGAGTCAATCACCGAATGGTGTGCCTACGAGGATGCTGGCCTCAAGGAGGGTGGATTGTGAGATCCCACGTTAGTTGGAGAGGGGAACAAATCATTTCTTACATGAATGTGAAAACTTCTTTCTAGTAGACGTGTTTTAAAACTATGAGGCTCACGATAATACATAACAGGGTAAAACGGTAAATATCTACTAGTAGTGAGCTTGAGCTGTTACACATGATATCAGAGTCAATCACCGAATGCGAGGATGCTGGTCTCAAGGGGGGTGGATTGTGAGATTCCACATCGATTAGAGACGAGGAGAACGAACCATTTCTTATAAGGGTGTGGAAATCTCTCTCTAGTAGACGTATTTTAAAACCGTGATGTTAACGAGGATACGTAATAGACGGAACGGATAACATCCGCTAGGGTTTTACTTTGGTCAATAATTGAAGGAATTTGAGGCCTTATGTTTGGGCTTATAAATGATTAAATAAAAGTATTTTATAATGATTATATAATAAGATGCTTTTCTTATGCTTCCAATTTTTAAGCTTTAGTGATGTAATTTTGTCATCATATTATTAATAATTTATAATATGGTTAATAGATATAATATATGGTAATTTTTGGGCACAATAATGGGTCAATTATTTGAATATTTTTTGAATTAGATTGAGGGGTCCCACTTTAAAGCAAAAAGGGTCGGGCGGGCTAATCACCATCTTCCACTAAAGACACTCGAGATCTTATCTTTCAATTCTCGGACCCCTTTATGGAAGGGAATTTTTTTTGACAATTTTGACAAAAGGGGTATTGAATAATTGTTTATTATGGGTCCATTTGGGTGACTTTGTGGTTCGGTTCGTGTTAAATCATTCAATTTCGTGTCTTGTTTTGTTGGACGGGGTATCGAGAAAGTTTAAGTTGTTTTAACTTTTGCAATTTTAAATCACCCATTGATTGATTGATGTATTTTTTTAAAGTTAACTGTTGTACCTAATGGTCTTGATAACAAACAGTAGACGTTGTTTGTTTTAGCCCCTTACGTATTGCCCTTAGCCTTACGATTTTAAAACGTGTCTACTATGGAGAGGTTTCCACACCCTTATAAGAAATGCTTCGTTCCCATCTCCATCCAATGTTGGAGTGCAGCGTCCTGGCTAGCACACCACTCAGTGTCTGGCTCTAATACAACTATAACAGCCCGAGGCCACTGTTAGTAGATATTGTCTGTTTTAGCCCATTACGTATCGCTCTCAACCTCATGACTTTAAAACGTGTCTACTAGGGAGGGGTTTCCACACCCTTACAAGAATTGCTTCGTTCCCATCTCCATTCGATGTTGGAGTGCAGCGTCCTCGCTAGCACACCACTCAGTGTCTGGCTCTAATACAACTGTAACAGCGCGAGACCACCGCTAGTAGATATTGTCTGCTTTAGCCCATTACGTATCGCCCTCAACCTCACGATTTTAAAACGTATTTACTAGGGAGATCTCACATTCCACATCCCCTTTTAGGGGCTAGAGTCCTCGTTGGCACACCGCTCTGTGCCTGACTATGATATCAACTATAACAGCTCGAGCCCACCACTAGCAAATATTATCCGCTTTAACCCATTACACATCGTCTTCAGCCTCATAGTTTTAAAACACGTCTATTAAGGAAAAGTCTTTACATCCTTATAAGGAAGTGAAAAAAAGACGCAATATTTTTTCGTATTTTTACCACCATATTGCCACTTACAGATATGTTTATCTATCTTCACAAAAATCCCGTCTTTTTCATTGTAATTTGAGAAAAAGTTTCCAACTTTAACTCGTCTACACTATGAAAGAGAAAAAAAAACCGAACAAAGATCGAGATAAAAACAAAATCATAGCTTATGTCTTTCATCTATTAGGCATTACAAACCAAAACAAGTAGAGGGCAACAACTTAGTCATCTTTGACTCTCCCTTCCTACCCATAGTGTTGGAGAAAGCACTTAATCTTTATCATATAATATAATTCATTCATACATATAATATCAATTCACGAAGAAAAAAAAAAAAAAAAAAAAAAAAAGTCACCCCTTGGACTTTGGATTCAAAAGGGGCACTTTATTTGAGTGACATCATACGTATAATCTCCTACTTTTTTGACATCTTCGAAGCTTGATCAAATTTGCAAGGATCCACCTCTTGCAGAAGCTCAACCACCTCTCCCATGGCGGGTCGAAGCTCTGGATTGTTCTTAGTACAGCGAATTGCGATGCCCAATGCTTTAATTATCTCATTTATGAACAACCCTTTTAATCTTTTGTCGAGAATCTCAAGAATTTGTTCGTTTGTGTCGATTTTGTTCGAAATCCAGTGTGCAATGTTCTTGTTATCTCCATATTCGGCTTCAATCGGGTTCTTCCCGGTAATCAGCTCCATTAAAACCACCCCAAAACTGTACACGTCGCATTTGGTTGTTGCTGTTGATGAATCTGCATAATCTGTAATTTATAATGTTCAATGGAAATTGATAATGGGGTTTGGAATTTGTAATGGAATTGATGAAGAAACTTACCGGGAGCTAAGTAGCCGGAGGTTTTTCCGGCGATTATAGAGCCGGTTGAGTCTTTGCCTCGTTGTAGGATTTTGGCTATGCCGAAATCTGCGATTCTGGGTTGGTAATTTGCGTCGAGCAGAATGTTTGTGGTTTTGATGTCTCTGTGGATTACCGGCGGCGAGAAGTTGTGGTGGAGATAAGCGAGGCCTTGGGCGATTTCCACCGCGATGCGGTGGCGCGTGGGCCAATCGAGATGAATCCACCCTTTATGAAGCGCGTCCCAGAGGTTTCCGTTGGGTATATATTCGTAAACCATAAGGCTGCAATTTAGAGCCGCAAAGTAGTTGTAGAGTTTGGCGATGTTCTTGTGCCGTACGGTTTTTAGGGTTTCGATTTCTGTTTTCAATTCCTTGTCGACGAGATGTTTCGCTCTCCGATTCCATAGCCTCTTTACGGCGACGATTTCTCCTTTTCCGATCTCGATTTTGTAGACGGTTCCGGATCCACCGTGACCGACGATGTTCTTTTCCGCCATGGCTTCTAGAATCGAGTTTTGGTCGAAGAATCGCGAAGTTAGGGTTTCTTTGTTCTCGATGTCTGAGGTCTTTCTGGTTGTGATTCGGCGTTTTATGAACAGGACGGCGGCGGTGATGAAGATGAGCAATGGAATTCCGATTGTCCAGATGAAATTCAGACGTTTTGCGAAGGGAAAACGCGAGCAAATTCGGAATTTCTGTTCCGTTGAAATGAAATACGCCGGTGGAATGCATAGATTTGGATTGCCGGAAAATCTATCCGCCAATCCTTGTTTGATGAAAGGCAGAGGAATTTGACCGGAAAGTTGATTGTTCGAAAGATTCAAAGAATTTGGGGACAATTTACTCAAACTTTCTGGGATTTCGCCGGAAAAACGATTGTTTGAGAGATCAAGAACACTGAGGGATTTCAACGAAGTGAATGAACTAGGGATCGATGAATCCAGCTGATTTCCTTGTAACATCACCAGATTAAGCTTCTTCAGATTGCCGATCTCGAACGGCACCGGACCGGAGAGAAGATTATTGCTGAGATCAAGCTTCACCAGATTGGTTGCTCCTGAAATCTCCGGCGGGATAACTCCAGAAATCCTGTTTCTTTGCAAGAACAACTCTGATAAGTTTCTTGCCTGTGAGATAGAACTTGAAATGGAACCAGTGAGATGATTATGAGCAACATCAATGATTGAAACATGGGGGAGAGCCAAAAGTTCTTGAGGAATTTCTCCTACCAACTGATTGAAACTAACCCGAAACCTCAAAATCGACTCGCATTCGGCGAAACTTGCTGGGATTTCTCCAGAAAGGCTGTTTTGCAGGACAAGAAAGTATAGCAATTCCCCCCCTCTGCATATATCCAATGGCAATGGCCCCGACAGGCGATTTTCCGACAAGTCGACGACGACCATTGGTGAGTACTTCCCCAACTTTTGTGGAATCTGTCCTGTAAGAAAGTTGTCATAAAGTGATAGCATAGTTAGTGTTGTTGAGTTAGCTAGTACACTTGGGATCTCTCCTGTTAGACTATTGTTGTAAATCTGTAGAACTTTAAGCTTTGGGAGTTTGCAAATGGATTCTGGTAGCTCTCCTGTTAAAAGGTTCACTGACATGTCGACGTCGACGAGCTCCGTTAGATTTCCGAATTCCTCTGGTATGTTTCCTGTGAGTTCATTGTAATAGAGTTCAAGCTGTTGCAAGTTCTTCAGTAAGGAGATTTCTTTTGGGATCTCTCCCTTGAGAAAGTTCCCACTGAGTTCGAGATCGACAAGAGACGTCATGTTCCCAATCGATCTCGGGATTTCCCCGTCTAACATACACGTTGTCAACACCATGGATTTCAGCTTCTTCAATCTGGAGATCTTCTCAGGCAACTTCCATAAGTTGAGATTATAATTCTCATTGAAATTCAGCACCTCAAGATTCACAAGGTCGAAAACCGACATGGGAAAGTCGCCAGTGAAGGAATTGTACGATAAGTCGAGCAGACGTAGTTGTTTCATTTGCGACAAATCCGGGATTGTTCCATTGAGATTCATGGAGCTCATGTCAAGCTCTTCAAGGAGTGAACAATTAGTGATTCCTGGAGGAAAACGTCCCTGGAAACCAGTATGGGCGAGACGAAGAACTCGTAGCTCTGGGAGGTAAGAGCATAGATCTTCGGGGAAGCCACCAGAGAGAGGCTGGCCAGAGATATCGATCCGAACGACGCTACCTCGGTCATTGCAGTCGATTCCGGTGAAGTTGCAGAAGGATTTACCTTTGGAAAGATCCCAATCAGTGAGGAGCTTTCCCGAGGCAGTGTTTTGCATGAGAAGGAAGAACTGGGACTGATTGGGAGCAGTAGAAGTAGCAGTAAAAGCTTGAGAAGAAGCAGAGATGGAGGAAGTGAGGAACAAAAGCAGGAAGAAAGCTGAGTGAAAAGCCATAACTGTGACAGAAGGTGGAGCTCCAGCTGAGAAATTGAGAGGTGAAGGAAGCAAGAACAAAATGGGAGGAATATAAATGGGGATCAAAACAGTGCAGCAGCATATCAGTACAGTAACAAAGCCAGCCTTGAAGAAGGTGACAAGAAAAGGTTCTTGTAGCAAGTGTGAGGTAGGGAAAAAAGACACTTTATGTTCCTGCTCCACTACACGCTTCTAATACTCCAACCCTACCGTATCACTCTCCGCCTCACGATTTTAAAACATGTTTTTTAGGGAGAGGTTTCTACACCCTTACAAGGAATGCTTTCTTACCATCCACCTCTCTTCGAGCCCAACGTCCTCTAAAACATGTCTTTTAGGGAGAGGTTTCTACGCCCTTATAAGAAATGCTTTCTTACAATCCACCCCTTTTGGGGCCCAACTGTCCAGTGTCTGGCTCTGATGATACTATTTGTAACAGCCTAAGCCATCTCTAGTAGATATTGTTCACTTTGTCCTGTTACGTACGCCTCATAGTTTTAAAATGCGTCTACTAGGGAGAGATTTTCATACCCTTATAAAGAATGCTTCGTTCCATTCTCCAACCAATATGAAACCTCACAATCCACCTATTGGGGTTTAGTGTCCTTACTAGTATACCGTCTTGTGTCTAGCTCTAATACCATTTGTAACAATCGAAGTCCACTACTAACAAATATTGTCCGTTTTGGCTCCTTACGTATCACGGTTTGCCTCGAAAACAAAAGTTAGAAAAGTAATAAGCGTCGTTAATGGCCTAATTAATCACTTTGATTAAGATTAAGGTCATCCTTTGCCCTCTCCACTACCCTATATTGGACCTTCAACTCACCACTCAAAATCATGTCTTCCATTTACATTTTCACTCCAAATCTATTCAAATCTTTTATATCAATAAGGTGTTTCTAACATGTTTAACCTTTGTCTATTTGTAAGAGTCTAAGCTCGCTGCTAGTAGATATTGTCCTCTTTGGACTTTCCCTTAAGGTTTAAAAACGTGTCTTATAGGGAGAGGTTTCCAGAATGCTTCATTCTCCTCCCCAACCGACGTGGGATCTCACAATCCACCTCCCTTCGAAGCCTAGTGTGTCCTCGCAGACACTCGTTCCCTTCTCCAATCGATGTGGGATCTCACACTATTAGACATAAGACAAACTATTCAATCAACCGTTTAAAGACTTACTAGAATGTTTAAACATTCAGATACATATCCAAACAAACACTAGATCTTGAGTAATGTTGCCAAGCACACAATTAGTGTAAAGTTTGAGTGCATATGACAACACGAGAAAGACCCATATGCTCCGCCATACGAACTTGAAGTCCTTATAATTAAACGTAAGATAACATCGTGATTTTTTTCTCAGACCGATAGAGTCCGAGTCGTAATAAATAATAAATTAAGTATATGATTTATGCTAAGCATATGGACAAATATTTTTTTTCAAACATTGGAAAAATGTTCAAAAGTTTTCTAAAGTGCTTTTGGATTAAATATAGAGATGTTGATAGAGCAAGTATTTGGTCTTATTTTAAGTTTCCTTTTATTCTCTACTTTTTAGAAAATATATATATAGTCTATCAAACTTTTGACAAGAAATCTTATACCAATCACTCACAAATCATTGGTTCTTTATAATTAAATTGCAACTTGAGCTAATTTAATAGGTCGGTGGAGTATCTTTTTAAATAAAGACATCCATATATCGGTTACGAGCGATATCAGGCTTAAGGCAAGTTGAATCATTGGGTCGGATTAACTTTCTACAACAATACTGGGTTCATAGAGAGGGCTTGCAATGGTCTTTGAGAAGATCATAAGATGCTGATAGGAGGGGGTCTCGAGAGCTTATGGGTATGTGGATATAGTTGAACAAAGCGAGTATTTAGATGTAGGTGGAGTATCAAAGGTTGAAAAATGTTAAGACCATAAATAAAAAATGCACGAAAGAAGAACCAAAAGAATCATACAAGGGTTCTCAAAGGAACCATACGTAAAAAATGGTTTACTAACACTGGTCGTCTAATGGGAAAACACGGTTCGACCTCTTCTCGAGAAATGTGAATAGGAACAACTGCAAGAGTTTTCAGTAGTGATAATTGCCCCGAACATAAGGATCACCACAAACGTAAAGCTAACATTTGAATGTGACTTGTTTTTTCTTATGAGATTGGGCTAGAGAATCAAAAGAGATAGCTCATGACCCAAATGGTTGCAAACCCAAATGGAAACCGACTCTTCTTTACACAAAAACGAATAAAAAACAGAGACATAGAAAAGAGTTGGTTGCTTCGTTTGAAGAGCTTGAAACAGAGTGGTTGCCTATCACTAGTAGATATTGTCTGTTTTGACCCATTACGTATCGCTTTCAGCCTCATTGTATTAAAACGCGACTACTATGGAGAGGGTCTAGCCCTACTAAAACGCGTCTACTATAGAGAGAGTTTATTTAAAAATGTGAATCGTTATGATATCCAAGTAAATTAAGGAGTACATAAATGAACCAAGATCATATTTGAACGAGAGCGATTATGAAAATAGGAACTCTGGGTTGACATGGCTTGTATTTGAAGCAACTTAAAACTTTTTTTTTTTTTTTTTTTTTTTTTTTTTTTTTTTTTTT